AGAACCTTTCAGGGCATTTCCAAGCCGAGGAGGAGTGACAGGATCTTTTCTCAAAGGTGTGAGAGTGGTAAAATACCAACCCAGAGGAGAGCCTTGGGAGGTTTTGAGTTTTCCTTCCTTCCTTCTCCTTCTTCCTCTCCCCTCTCCTGTTCCTTCTCCCCCTGCCTCTTTCTCCCTGCCTTCTTTTTCTCCTTCTTGTGCATTTCGGAACAATGAAGACCCCAGTGGGTGCGCAGCATTTACCATTTACAAACGTTTTCCCTGACTTTCTCCGATAGAGCTTGAGGTGGTTGTCATCAACTCCGCTCAGCTGCAACGCCCCACGCTCCTCATCTCCACCCCAGACACAATGTAGGGGACCCTCAAGGCAGAAACGTGTGGCCACTCCATTCCTAGGCACTTATCAAAAGGGGCCAGTCACCGGGGCCTGCCACACCAGCCCCGCCGTGCGTCCCCGCCCTGCTCCTGGAATCACTCTACTCTCAATCGGTCTTGTAAAGACACTCTCTCTGTCTCCTCTCTGCCTCCCCCTTCTTGATCCATCTCTCTTTTCTGATAACCGGTTGGGGGGATGTTTTTCTTATCTCATCACTGAAGTGCCCTCAGGAAAGAGACTTGCTCAGGGTCACTCAGCGGGTCAGAGGCAAGGCCAGAATCAGAGCCTAGGGCTTCTGACCCCCACTCTTGTGCTCCTTCCCTGATGCCCCACAGCCTGGAACATTCCCTGGGAGGCTGAGTATGCCTAAAGCTACCTGACTCATCTTGCCCCCAAGCTCGACACTACCTCAGCCATCTGTCCAGCTCCTGGAGGAGAAGATAAGCCCACCCTGGTGGGGAAGCAGCCCAGCGGATGTATTAGCAACCTGTTTCCTCTCACGTCTTTCTGTGTCAATGAGGAAGGCCATCACCCCAGCCCCTTCTGAGACCCAGCCCTAGCAACCAGCCAACCCCCAGGTGGCTGGCGCCTCCCCACATCTGGAGAAAGCCCCCAGCCTCAGAGCAGGGGAGGGGGCCCCTGGTGCCTCTGCTTCTCTCAGCAGGTGTCAGAAACCGTCTCGCTCATTCACATACACCTTCTCCAATCAGGACTTGCATGGAGCAAAGCAGCCAAGTGAGAAAGCACTGAAGCACCACACACACGGAACCATGATCTGGGGCTGGACCAGGAGTAGCCCTGGATCCACGGCCCTGACTGGATACAAGGACTCTTGTCCCAAATGCTGTCCCCCCCTCCCCAGCCTCACCCACCTGCTTGGTATGAAAGAAAGTCTTGGCTCTGCAGTCTGCCACTCCGTCACTGCCAGCTGTGTGCCCTAGGACGCCACTTCACCTCTTTGAGCCTCAGTTTCCTCATCTGTAAAATGGGGTCAACAGTCCCATCTCACTGGGTTGTGGGGATAAAACGAGAGAATGGTCATGAAAATGCTTTTTAGAGGATTTTTTTCAAATGTAATGAAGGCTAAAATTAAGGCCTGAGGACCCTCTCCAAAATAAATTCTCTACCACATCTGGGGGGAAGGGCTCTTCCTTGGAGGTGAAGGAAATTTGCAGCAAGGGCCTGGCATCTACCGCCTCATTTCGTGCCTGGACTTCAGACAGGTTTAGTACGGAATGTCGCCACCCTCCACCTGTGCGACGGGCGCGGGGCGGGAGCGCAGGGAGGAGACACGAGGGAAGAGTTTGC